CTAACATAACATATATGAAACACAATTAATGAAAAGAATAAACAGTAATGAATCGTTTCCCTTCCCAAAAAATGTCGCACTTCCATTATTCGGATTTTTTTTTAATTCATGATTTGGCCAATCGTTACATTAGATCGTTGCTACATTTATCAGGATAATCTTTACGAAACAAGTAATTCAGAATGTTTCACAATAAAGCGAGAAGTAAAGTAATGGAAGTCGGAGACACTTTCAAACGAACGAAAACTTGTTTTAAGAAAATTTTTTTTAATTCGTAATAGTTGGTATGTGTCATTTGAAAAAGCTATCTTGGTGGGTGTACAGGTCAAGGGCATTTTCGTTGCAGCGATAAATAATCGAGTCGTCCCGGCTGGAGGCCAGAAGTTCACACGCCGCAGTCGAGAGCACATCAGGATGCGTTTCCTTTGCTTTCAGGTTATCCTAGTCACGTGCTCGGCTACGAGCATAATGGCATCCATTACAAATGCCTTGTACAGAAATTATTCAAGAGTTCGCATTTTTCGACAAAATAGCCTCTTGCCTTGTACTTGTGCCGAAGGGATTCTAGATTGTTCCGAGAGGGGCAAATTTTCATTGTCAGTGGAAGATCGCTGTCCAGGAAGAGTTACTGCTGTCAATCTCTATGACAATGAGCTTACCGCATTTCCAGATGGACTTCATGAAGCTACAATTGTTGACGTCTCTAACAATCGACTAACATCGCTGCCACTACAGTCGCAACTCAACCCTCAACTGAAAAAGCTCAAGCTGTACATGAATGAGATAATCAACCCGACGGACAATGGATTGAGATCGCTCGGATCACTGGAAACTCTTATTGTGAGTAAAAATTATCGTCTAGGGAGTCTGCGGTTCCTACCCCTCCCCTGTGGATTGCGATATCTCGAAGCTAATTATATAAATTTACAAGACATAGAGGGTCCGTTGACACAATGTATGCGTCTAGAAACTCTGGAGTTGAGATATAATTCTCTCACAAGCATATCGGAAAATACGTTTTCTACGCTCACGCAGTTGCGGGATCTCAATTTAGCAAGAAACTCCATTGAAACAGTTTCCATTAATCTTTTCAACGCACTGACTCAGTTGCGCAAACTCAATTTACAAGCGAATGGTCTTCGTTCTCTTCCATACGGCGTGTTTAATTATCTTTCAAATTTGGAACGCTTAGACTTGAGTGGTAATTTGTTTACTTCTGTTTCACCCGGATTATTGTCTCCGCTTTCTAGGCTTACTCACTTGAATCTCGGTAAAATAAATTTTGAGTCATTTCCAACAGAAGTGTCAAATCTTTCATCCCTTGAAGAATTGCAACTGACTTCTAATGGGTTTACAAGTCTGCCTGAGAATTCATTTTCGTCTTTGCCTCATCTCAAGGAATTACTTTTGACGTACAATAATATATCTACCTTGCCAAATAACATTTTCTCAGCTCTTTCAAATTTGAAGGTTGTGAGTTTGGGAAATAATCCAATGACTTCTCTGCCGCCCGATATATTTTCCCAAGCAACTAATTTAGATTTTGTATGGTTGCCGTGCGTGGAACTTAATGCAGAAAATTTGCGTCTAGTGAGGAATGTATCAAGTTTTGTGTACGTTAATTGCGGATCATTTGAATTGAAATCTGGTGTTTTATCTGTATTAACACGAGCTGAAAATTTGGTAATTAACGGTAACACGATCACATCGTTAGCTGATGATGCGTTTTATGGATTGCCGGAGCTGCAGCTACTAGAGTTGAGTGAAAACGCAATAACGGTTCTTCCAGCTGGCGTTTTTTCACAATTAACAAAAGTGCAAAGTATCTACCTATTGAGCAACAGGATAGCAACAATTCCTGAAGGACTGTTTTCCGGACTGCTAAACCTGAAGGCCATTGTCCTATCACACAATCGTTTCAGTGAGGTGCCAGAAAATCTCTTCCAAGGGTTGCAAGCCCTGGAATCCGTTGATCTTTCCATGAACCGCCTGACGTCGTTGCCGCCTCGCCTGTTCGCCGGCCTTCCGTCGCTGAAAGAGGTCAACCTGGACATCACTCTGCTGCCCACTCTGCCCGCCTACGGCCCCGCGTGGGCGTCGCTTCGGGCGCTGTCCTTGGGTTTCAGCTTCAATCTGAGCGTGGACGCGGCGTCGCTGCGCCCGTGGCTGCTGGCCCAGGGCTCGCGCTACCTGTCGCTGGAAGGCACCAGCGACGGAGCGCGGGCGCCGGCGCGGTGGCGTGTGTTGTGCTGCAGGGAGGCCGGCGTGGCCTGTTCGGCGGGCAGCCCCGAGGCTCCACTCGGGACAGTGCGCGGCGATGGACGTGGCGGCGCGTCGTTGCCTGCACTGTGCGGTGGGCCAGGCCGGGGTGCGACGGGGTGAGGGTCCCGGACACCGCGTGGGGAGGCGATTGGCTTGCTGCGCGGGCGGGCCGCGGGTGCGACAGGCCAACGCGTCCATCAGCGCCTCCCAAGTGACGTAGACAAAATTCGCAAGATCGCCTAGTTTCAGCCTACATTGATTCTTTTTTAACCCAAAATAATAATTGTATGCTTTATATACTAGTGAATGACAATACTTCCGAACAATATCATTAGCGCTAAATGAGAGGGGTGCTCAGAAGGGGGGCGGGGCAGCTGAGGCAACTTGCCCCAGGCCCGACTTAATTAGGGCACTGAAACGTTCATTCAATATAAATAAATAAAATATTTATCTATAAACCAAATCAAACGTAATACGTTATTTCTTATTCACGGACAAATGAATTGTTTATGGTTTGGGGGAGGAGAGGATTTTTTGTTTGAAATAAGGGGCCTCCGTGGATCAACTGCCCCAGGCTCTTGTTTTCGTCTGGGCGCCCATGCTAAATACATCCGAGGCATTGTATACTCATCTTTCTCATGTGTGTTGCTTAAGCAATGAGGTTTCTTTTTTGTCGTTTTTGAAAATTCAACCCTGTAGCATTGACATTCTCCACACTCATCGAAATTGATACATTTACGTGGTTTTGTGGTCATTTGAAGTGGCAATGAACTTCTCTTCAAGTCTTTCATCACACCTCAGAAACTTTGGCTTGAAAAGTCCGTATCAGTCTGTGAATGAAAGCGGCGTTTCTTAATGGACACAGAATTACATCAATGAGTGATTTTTCCCCTTCAGTTTTACTGTGTTGATTACGGCGTGGACAGCGTGTGAACGAAAACTACAATAAAAAGTGTAATTTTAGTGTCGGTGTGATTTGGTTATGATTTTACTTGAGAATACAACGATTAAAGGTTTGTTCACTATGGTATTTAGAATATTTTTAGATTTTAAATATTATTATTAGCCATGCTTTAGTATTAGTATAATAGCGACGGAGTTTGGTAAATGTAAATAATTTTATTGGAGATGTTATCTCATGTAAAATCAGTATTTTTCCATGCAATACGGGCACAGTGACAGTACAGTGGCGATGCGTGACCCGCGAGTTTGGGGACGCTCAACAATGACGCAATCTGAAAACATCATATTTAATCTTTTCTAGAATCTATATTATCAAAACAAATGTTACAATACTCTAACAGATATATGTCAGAAGACTTCTTAAAAGCAAATTATGCAATGGCTCAGCACTAATTTTCATGCGCGAATGGCAATGATATCACTTGAGTACTTATACAATTTAGAACAATGTAATATTTAATACATTTAAGAAAGATATCAACTTTTTAGTTATTAATTAATAATTAGTAGGTAAGCACCATTTCTACTGGTTGTGCCCATGTTCAAGCAGAGAATCGCGCGCGAGAGAGAAAAAAAACTACTTCACTGATCTATGAGCAAGTGCACAAACGAGCAACTTGCGCATAAGCCTCTTGTAGTCGTATGGTACACTTGGGTATTTATTTCTTGGCGAGCGAGGCCTTGTCTTCAGGATGGAATATCTCACGGTTTTTCGCGTCTTTCTCGGTCGCATGATCGCCAGCACTGTCGATATAGTCGCGATCATGCGATATTTAGCGGCAGGACTGAGGAAGACGCGAAAAACCGTGAGATATTCCATCGTGAAGACAAGGCCTCGCACGCCAAGAAATAAAAACCCAAGAATAGCGTAATAAGCTCGGGAATCATTGGGTCACGGTTGAAGAGGGGGAATCTTGCGGCAGACGCTGGAAGCATTTTAGCGTCCAAGCAATGAGAGAACAACTTGAAACAACGCGCCGAAGTCAGTCACTGGAAATTGCTTTACAATTAATACAAAACGTGTTTCGCTCAGCGACCACTTGTAATATCATCAATACAATATTTAGGGTTCTCTGATTAATATTAACGTGGGGATGTTCAGTATCTTAGCGTGTCCTGACGCTACGCCACTGAGTGACACCTGCCTTAAGCGGTCACCATGTGTTTCCGGCAAAAATTGGCTCTAAGTGCAGGTGGTCGCTAAATAGAGGTTTTAGTGACATTGGAAGGGGATATGAAACCCAATTTGGCTATATACAATAATCTTAAGCATACGTATGTTCAAACTATTTAATTTACAGTTTAAATAGTAAGTTCTGAAAGTTTTTTTGTTTCTGTGCAAATCAATAGGCCACCGTTTATTTCCTTCCACTCGTAGGGTATCTATTGTTACCTGAAATAGGAATTACTCCACCACTAAATAAGTAATGGTTTGTTCCTTTTTTGAGCTATCTGAAAATGCATCTTGACGCATGAATATATTGAATTAACAATAATGTGTGGTACTCGTTCCCTGCCTACAGTTCAAAATCGCGATATAGTCAAGACGTATCCGACTAAGGGAAGTTCATTTTCGAAATGTGCCTGGTCGCTGACTACGGCGCCTGGTGACCGCTTAAAAGAGGGATTAGTTAGTATCTTATGTAGAAAGCAATCGGTTCCAAGCAAAAATAGCCGTTAGAAGATTTGACCGCTTAATCGAGGTGGCCGTTTCAGCCGGTGTCATTGTATTTGCAACGGGCGTGCGTGCCCGCAGGGAGCTGCAACGTCTGGAGCTGGCCGACAATGAGCTGGAGAGCCTGCCGGGCGGCGCGTTCGCGGGACTGAGCAGCCTGCTCGTGCTCGACCTCACCCGCGCCGGCCTGCAGCGCCTGGAGAGCGGCTCGTTCCGCGGCCTCGCGCACCTGCAGGAGCTGCTCCTCTCCGAGAACCGCCTGAGCGCGCTGCCGCCGGCCGTCTTCTCGGAGACGCCGCGCCTCGAGACGCTGGCGCTGGCGCGGAACGCGATCGGCGCGCTGCCGGCGGCCGCCCTGGCGAACCTCGCGGCGCTGCGGCGGCTCGACCTGTCGGGCAACGCGTTGACGAGCGTGGCCGGCGACGCGTTCGCCGGCGCGCGCCGCCTGGAGTGGCTGTCGCTGGAGGGCAACGCCCTGGACGCCCTGCCGGCCGGCGCGTTCGCCGGGCTGGCGCAGCTGGAAGGCCTCCGTCTGGCGCACAACGCGCTGGCGGCGCTGCCGGCCGGTGCGTTCGCGGGGTTGGCCGGCCTGCGCGAGCTGTCGCTGGCGGGCAACCGGCTGGCGCGCGTGCCCGAGGGCGCGCTGGCGGAGCTGCGGCGCTTGGAGGGCGTGGCGCTGGAGGGCAACCGCCTGGAAGAGCTGCCGCCGCGCCTCTTCGCCGCGCTGCCGGCGCTCGCCGCGGTGTCGCTGGCGCGCAACCTACTCGCGCGCATCCCCGCCGACACCTTCGCAGGTACGCGCTCTCCGGGCAAGTCATGCGCAACCCGGCAGCGTTAAAGGCCCACTCACAATGCAAACGTAAACATAAGCATGGCATTAACATAAAAGTTAGGATTACGTACTCATTTACAATGCGTTCGCATAAGCATAACACGTAAGACGTTCACTTAAAAGCTTGCAAGCTTCTATGCTTATGCTTAAGTAAGACATAAGAAATAAACCAATCACAGAACGATAACCGGAAATCGAGAATCGAAATTGGAGCGAAGTCGATAGAACTAACGCCGTATGGGCCATGGACACAGTCGATGAAATCGATTCTCACATCCAACCAATAGTAGACCAGAATATCTCACAGCCAATAGAAACTCTTATTTTGTTTACGATTATGTTAAGACAATGTGAATCCTTCAGTCTATCACTTATGTTCATGTTTAGTTTATTCACTATGCTTATGTTTACGTTTGTATTGTAAATGGGTATTTAAGACGGTTCCACACATTCGGCATTCGCCGAGCAGCGAGCAATTGCTCACCCAATCCCGAACAGCTGATGTGTTCGCCAAATGTGCATTCCCTTTAATGTGTCCAAAAGACCGACACGCGGTGGATAGGGCGAATGCCGAACGTTCGGCGCTCGGCGAATCGCAAGCAACCCGTCCACACTACTCGGGATTCGGCAAGCGGTTGTAGCCGTTTCATGTAGCCGCTCCATGTAACCGCTGAATTAGGAATATTGGATAAAACTGTCAACAGAAAATCGAAGTTTAGCACTGTTGCAGTCTCTCAGCGAATCTGAACGGGAGAGGTTTCACCTAGGGTTTCAGTCCCAACGGTGGCGCATTTTCGACACCAGTTCTATTGCCAAAGGCCTAATTCAGCGGCTACATGGAGGAAAATTCTAGAGGCCGACTATTGTGATCGGGTTTTCCGTGTTGTTTTTTTTTTCCTATCAATACCAGGCACATGCCAGAGAAGTACCCTACCAAATGGGCCTTGGACCGCCCGAGACCTTTGTTTCCTCGTCCTTGTCCTATCCTCGCTCCTCACACACCACCCACACATACCACACACATGGGGAGCTTGTCTTGACTGCGGCAGTGACCCGTTGAAGGAGATACTTGGAAAACGGAACCATGCGCAAGGCCACTTGTAGGTCAGCTCCAGATCTCACCATCCACCGCGGAGGGGGGCAATGCAACCTTCCAGGATACAACATTCACTAAACACACGGGACTAATAACAGCAGATGGCGTGCCCTGAAATATCAGTCAGTGCCAAAACAAATTGGGGGTGTGCTTCATGAGTAACACGTAAAAATACTCGCAATTATTTCACAAACGTGTGTGTGTGTGTGGAGTTAGAGTGCCTAGCTTTCGAATTTTTGAACTACAATAGCAATTGCTGCTGTGAACAATTTTGAGCAAGCTAGAGAAAAAACAATGAGTTTAACAATAAAAACTATAATCCCAAAATTTGCTTACAACGCATCTAGGTCAACACATTGTTGACAGGCAAAGCATGTCGAAAACGGGAAGTAAATAAATACCCGAAACACACCACTTAATAATCTGTTAAATCTTAATGTATAAAAATTTAGGTGTGCTCGCGCCTGGAACAATTCAACATTTGATACACGCATTGTCATGTAGAAACTGATATTGTGGAGTAAGAGGCCTCTAGCACCCATAGAAGGGGGGTTGGAACGGTGACAAATACAAACAAGATTGTTTGTCAACGCCCAAAGCACGTATGCGGCCGGGGTGTGCTCAGCGTGTGAGGCAGTCAGGACGAGCGGGGAGGGTAGATAGGGTGGAAGAGCGTTGATGGATCGGCAGGGCTAGCAGGACAGGTATGATGGAGGGGAGGCCAGGGTGGACGGAGTTGTCTAAAAAGCAATTGTGATAAATGTACGGGTAATACTAAGAAATAAGCAGGATCGATATTTAAACGTGTGAGCCGAAAAAGAGTATTTATAATTAAATGAAATAACAAAAATGTTACTTGCTCACTACGTACTTACGATTTTATTGCTTAAGCGGCATTTACATAAATTGCATTTCCCGCAACCGGTGAGCAGCGACAAGTTCGATATCTAAAAATAAAACAAAAACTCCTTCCACTCCCCGAATAGATGGTATATAGATAGGAAAGCAGGGGAGGGGAAAAAGATGTGAAGAGGACAGGTGAGGTTTACAATTTTTTTAAGGGATCCTTTTTGGGGTGAAATATATGGGACCTGTTTATTGTTGCAAGGAGGGCTAATTTTCTTATTTTTGTTCATTTTTTCATTTTATTTTCATTTAACGGCGTGATGGTTTTGCCATTTTGTCTTAATCTTGTCAGTATTTCACGTCAGGTGTCATTTTTAGTCAGTATTAAAGTAACTTTTAAGAAAGTTTGCAGTAAGTATTTGAAAGTGATTGTAGGTTAGTGGGTGGGTGGTGTTATCAAGTTCGAGGTGGTGGGAGGTGGAGTGTGTCGAGGTGGCGTTTTTTATGGGTGGGTGGGCTGTTGATATGGTTGTGAGGAGCAGGAAAAGGGGTAAATTTGGGGTTGTTAAGTGCTTTCGTCACACGAGTCTTTGCTTTGTTGTATATTTCAGTTTGAATTGGTGTCAGTCTTATTTTCGCCTGGATCGTAGGGTATCTGGTAAGGGGCGGAGGTCGAAAGGCGAGTCGGATGAAGGGGCTGTCAACTTTTTTAAGACTGTCATAGTTCGTAGGCGTCGTAGCAGACCACGTCTCGCATCCTTAAAGTCCGTTTAACGTACGTATTGTAGATGTATTTCTTTGTCCTGCTGACTTATTTTGGATGGAAGCTAAGGGGAGTCAATGCACTGATTGCTCGATGAGCTTTTTTGGTAATATCTTTTACATGGTCTGTCCAGTATAATCGTCGGTCGAATGTCAGGCCTAAGTATTTTACTGTGTCCATGGGATGGGTATGTTAATAGTAATAGAGGGGAAGTCATGAGGTGTTCGATCTATTTTGTAGGATGTTGCCAAAGGTTTCGGATACAGACTGAGGATCGTGAGTCCTTTTGTCGTTTGGAAGGTTGACGGGTGACATATTTGTGTTTATTTCGTCTATCAGTTTCCTAAGTTTCTGGGAATGCTTGGTCGTGGCGTACTTTAGTCTTTCCTCCAGTTTCTGCCGTTCGTGTATGTCACGTTCTTCTCGCATTTGTCTACGAAGTTGTAAAAACAGAGATCTGTCTTGTCATCTTCGAGTCCTGTAAAACTGAGCGTTCGTCGTTTGTGCAGATATTAGGGAAAGGATATGGGAGGGGAGTTGGATTTTTGATACGAGAACTGGAGGAGTGTATTTGTATAGGGATCTGTTAGTATGGAGATTGAAATGTTCTATGGATTCGTCTATATCGAATGTGGTTTCTGGGGCAGGTGGGTATTTAATTTTCTTGGATAATGTTTCCAGTCTATGATGATTTAACGGGATATAGGTGTAGGGCCATAGGAGAGAGCGTTGATGGTGAAGACGACAGGAAGGTGGTCTGGTTCTAGTACGTAATTTGGATACGGAGAGAATATTGCTCATAAGAAGCCACCCCCGAGAGATGATGAGAGATAAGCTTCGCCTCCAGTTGTTTTTTACAAAGTACTTCTTTTGCGAACTCAATCACTGCATACTAACCTTCAAATACGTAAACTCTTTTAAATAATTTTCTAGGTCATGATAATATGGGAGCACTGTAAAGTAGAACTAGATTGTTTCTACATTAAAGAACCGAGAACTTCGATCTGAGTGAGAGAAGAGACATGTGGCCAAACATTTGAAACTGACCTCCGGGACACACCATATATCTCCGCAGAGCACGATTGAGTAGCACACTGCCGTTCTTATAACAATTTAATTAACTAATTAACACATTTGCAAATGGGATTGGCTAACGATCAGGGACAAGCGTCGCATGTGCAAGTCTGTTACGTGAAATTTCCCACTATCTGCTCTGCAGCAAAAAGTGATCACTTTTACTCCCCTAGAAGGTTGTGGCCCATTGCATCGATTCCTGACATCGTGTCCCTGCCTTGCGCAGACAGCCCTTCGCTGGAGAACGTGGACTTGTCGCACAACGAGCTGTCGTCGCTGCCCGAGGGCCTGTTCGCGAGCGCCAGCCAACTGAGCTCCCTCGACCTCTCGCACAACAGCTTCACCGCCTTGGGCGCGCGCGACCTCGCCGGCCTCTCCGCCGTCACCAGCCTCGACCTCGCGCACAACCTGCTCGCGGAGCTGCCCGTCTACGGCGCCGACTGGCCGCAGGTACAGCCAACGACCAGCAACGCCCGGCTCCCGACACTGCCTCTCGCCGGGAGTCCTGCTCCCATCCCAATAATTGTAATTTTACTACGCCCTGAAACATGTTTCGCGTTCAGAAACATAATTTCAATTAGTAACTTAAGGCCTTAAATTCTGAAGAATGTAGGCTAATTTGGTAAAGGAACAGAATAATGAAATTTACACGTAAGCTTCCAAGGCTCGAGTTCATGAGTTCTTGACTGACCAGGTGACGTAGCGCCGATGGTTGAGAGGCCGACGTTTCGCCTGACATTTCGTAGGCAGTGACCAACTACCCTCAGGGTCACTAACCTGAGGAAGCCTGCGAAATGACAGGCGAAACGTCGGCCTCTCAACCAACGACGCGGCGTCACCCGGACAGCCAAAAACTCACAATAAGGAAATTGTCGTTAATAGGGAAATTGAGCAAAAAATATTTATTTTTTGATACGATGATAGGATTTTGGACGCCAGTTACATTGCTAGGTCGAATTCAGAAGCTGTCTGGCGGAGAATGCTAGATGCTGGCTGTTCTGATCCGTAGTTTTCCGTCGTTTCTCCGTTTAACACCAGGCAAATGCCGGAGCAGTACCCTAACAATCGGGCCAAGGATCTCGCAGTCCAGTGGAGGAAGATCAACAACTCCCGCGACGAAAACGTGCTCTACGCTTACGGGAATACCTCTTGATGCTCCCGGAATACTTTTGAAGAAAAACAATTGCAATGAATGAGTATTAAAAAAGGCACCTGCGTGATTGTTTGTTCTTTTTTGCAGGGATGAAAAACGAACTTCAAAATACGAAATCAAACTCCAAAAATAGTTCATAGCATGATCAAATAAAATTCTGGTAGAACAAAAACGTTTTCCTGTTTAAAAAATTGACGTGTTTTCTTATTCTTCTTTTATTTTCCAAAAATAAGCTTGTATGTCTCCAAAGCCAGAAGGTGATAATCTCTATGAAAGAGGTATTTACGCACCAATGGCGTTGAAAGCGTTGTAATGATAGAGCGGCGACAAAAACCCCAAGGGCGAGAGGTCTTTGTCTTCCGAGATCATTACCACCAGTCAACGCCCGTGGTACAAGCATGATTTTATTTTTTACCCAATTTTGCTGATTCAGATTTTCTTATTTACTAATTAACTACATGTTAATTTAACTCGGTTTTTCTAGGTCGGGAGTGAGCAAGAAACACCACGTACGATAAGCTCACAGATAAAACATTTTGAGAAGTTATCCAGAGTAATGGATAGGAAAACACAGATATGGCGGCCTGGGCGTGCCGGCGTTGTGCAGCACAATTTTTTGAATGTGTCGAAAAAAAACTGTGCTCTTGGGTAATGAGTACACAGCTAATTCTTTTTTTAAAAATTTGTTGCGTCAACAACGCGTCTCTAAACTCCTAGGGGGGCGTTGAGCGCTTCCCGCTATTGGTGTTATCCTCAATTAATTAAATAGTTCGTCACGTCAGTTGTAAAGAGGACCGCCAGACAGCATGTCCGCGTACACGCCTCTCTCTTACGCGCTCCTTCGTCACTAGCCAGCGGCCAGAGATGTGAAGGAATAAGGATTGGGGTAAGGTTTAGGACGCTTCACAGGAGTTGGACTAGCCACTGTAAAGCACGCAAACTCGTTTTGTCGTAACAAATTTCACATGAGGTTCTACGGGAATCGTGTTACGAGAATTCTTGTTGTATATTGTTCGTTAGGTAGCCAAAGTGTGAAGGAGTTGTATGCCATACAGATGCGGCGTCTTAAACTGACAGCCATATAGAATTCAATGTGTAATTTTTATTACAAGTTCAAAGTTAATATTTTGTTCTATTGATAGAAAATTATTTTTCATTACGATCATGACCATGCCATACCGTTTCTCTAAGTAGCCGCCACACTGATTCAAAGGCCATGCACCATAGGTACAAACGTGATGGTGCGCAGTAGCTTAACGAAATGAACGCCAGAATGAAATGAAATTTTTCTTGCTGGCTCCCGGCCTAGAGCCTCGTCCAGGTAAGTAGAGCAGCGCATGTCGCGCGCGTGTGCAGGTGACGCTGGCGCGCTTCGGGTCCCGCGTGCGCGCGCTGGGCGAGCGCGCGGGCCGCGCGTGGCTGGGCGACGGCGCCGCGCGCCGCAACGTGCGCGTGGACGGGTTGCTGCGCGACGCCGCGTCGCTGCGCTGGACGCTGCGCGACCCCGCCCTGCGCGCGCAGCCGCACCCCTTCGACTGCGCGTGCGGCAGCGTGCGCCGCGGCCTTCGCCGACTCGAGTTCGCCTCGACCTGCCCTGCGGCGCCGCGGCCGCGCCGGCCACCGCGGCGCCCGCCGACTGGCAGGCCGCCGCGCTCGAAGGTGTGGTCGCCCCGCCCCGCCCCCGGCCCCGGCGCCGGCGAGCGCTCGGACCGCACGACACTGTAGAGAGAGATTGTTAGAAGAAGGGATCGCTTTGACAGCTAGTGCTTGGCCACTGCTGACAGCATGTATTGCTAGCGCAAGTTTTCTTGATACACGAGCTCCCTAGTCACTAGTCCTCACTCGGCGCTGAATAGCACGGCACGTTGAGATTCTCAGGTTCGATTGGAAACGGCGCGTACCAATTTACAATGCTGGCAACCACCTCGTACTTTCAAAACAATCGTAGCTTGTCTCGTGACACGCTTTGGCGAGTTCATGCCCCTTAAAGCCGTGACGTACCCAGGGCCCCTCCGCTCTCCCCGAGCCCCCCCGTTATGGAATATCAAGAAAACTTGAGCGTATGGTACCAGGATTTATTTCACCATGCATTTAACGTTAATTAGCTCTTCACTTGTTTCATCCAATCGGCGGCTTCAACGTCCCCATACTGACGCTGCTGTAGCGACATATTAAGTCCCGAAACAGCAACAGTTGATTTACTTAAAATGCAAGGTTTAAAAAAATCCTAGTATAACTGCGGGTAAGTTCGTGCACTGAGTTCGTCAATGCCTTCGTTTAGATAGCGCATTAGTAAATGGGTTTCATCATCATCGCTCTGTGACATTCATTTGTTTTCCGACCTGTCAAACTCGTCCCTTCTTAGAGAAACTCCTCTATACCCGCGCAGATACTTTTGAGCCCTCATTTCCCTAGATGCCAGAGGAGTAGCGGGTTGGTTATTTCGCCGAGAGGACTCCAATATCAAAGCTGTAGCTTGTTTTTTGATGCAAAATAGTTTCTATTATATGTGATCAAACATTTCTGCTTACCATATTTTTCAACAATATTCGTTGCAATGACTTATTCATAATTCAACTAATGTGAGTAAAGGAGTGGGAGTAGGTTTTCCAGCGCTGGAGTAATACTCAAAATTAAATCGTTGACCCAAAATCATCGACATTTTTAAAACCATTAAAGTGGTCTTATTTAATTTTTAATTAATTGAAATTTATCTAACAAAATAAAATCATCAGGGTATAGCAAAATTTTGCTTATCTGAATCGTTAATTCAACAACAATATAGACATCTTTAGTAACAAAAACTTGATTACATTTATTTTTCTCTCTCAATCTTCAGACCAAAGTGACCCTTCAGGCAAACAACAATAATGTTAAAAAAAAGCATTGGGTTCATCAATTATCTTATAAAAATATCGAAGTTTTGAAAACATCAACATCATGTTCCATTCCTACTCCCTAGCCTCATAACCAGTGTGTATAATACTCTCTGGTCAATGTTGTTGGATCCACCATAGCTCTGGTGCTGTCATTGTTGGTTTTTAATCCTCTTGCTGATTAGCACATGACTAATTTTTTGAAATCTTGGACCACACAACTACTCACACACAGCAGTACAAAATATTCACAGAACACACTAGCTTTGTGATCACTTATGTAACCTTCAGTCACAAGTTCTTAAATTATGTATCATAAATCTGTCAAAGCATGTTGCATGAAAACTTTTCTATCGAGGCATGTTACCTCAAATGGCTTTACAACAAGTGTTATTCTATTGAAATAAAAAAATAATAATAATAATAAAAAAATGTTATTGGAAATTATTGAAGAGAAAACCTGTTAAAAAAAATGTTGGTCCTGTTTATTCCTGTACATAAGGCCAACCTCTCATTTTTTCCTGTTTAACCCAACAATGTGGGAAACTGTTACCTGTTTGGGGAAAAGGCTCTCGAAGGCATTTTTGAGAGTAAATCAATTGTATTTACTAATTGCATCATTAAAGATATAATTTCATGCATCTTGTGTTTCATTTATTTATCCCTAGCAACATAAATAAACCACCATTGTTTCATCCCAAGGTAAATGATTATTAGGAATAAAACATGATGTTCAAAGCAAATCAAGATTCAAACAATTCAGAATAAAGTAACTCATATTTGTTTTTAGGATATTTTTGGTAATTGTAATATTATTAATAGTACAATTAGAAAAATGTGTAATAGGTAAATTCTTCAATTTCCTGGCATTCCACCAAATTAAACTTTTCTCCAGTAATAATAATTTATTGACGATGTGAAGGTGTTGCCACTGGAAGTCACTGCGCTCAATGTTATTTCGTTAGGTATCTACTATAGTTCAGAAGAATTATTTTTATCCATCTTTCTCAAACCAGGGTATACGAATATTGCTTTTCGCACTCACCAGGCATTGAATCAAAAGTCTAGAGTTGCTTCATGAATCCTGTAACTTGCATTGTGTAATAATTTCTCAGCAACCATTTTTACTTTCATGTGTTTCACTTGATGCAATGCCATTCTTTTGAGATTCTTCCTTTTCCAAACTCATTCTAAATATATTGGAGTGATTCACCCAGCTAATTTTTGAGTGATGCCAAGAATACATTTGTGAATATAATTGAATATTATAGATACTTTCTATTGTCTTCCCAGCTAACAGACCTATTCTTACATTTTCAAGTTTTGGGATATGAAAAGGCAATGTAAAAAAAACAAATCCTAACCAACTAGGCTTCATTTCAGAATACAAGACAACACTATTTTTCTCTTATATTTGAGTAAAAATTGCATATTAATTCTGAGCATTTTATGGCACTTCTCTCTGGTGAAGTTTGTACTCTCTGCACTTAAAAAGAATAATTCATTGAAATTTTGTGTTTTCAGAAAAGGTGGTACTTATCTGCCACTAAAAAGTGTATATAACATTGACATTGACAATCAAAATGTGTACTTCAGGAACGTCGACAGGTAACTTTAGAACACTGCACTTTGTCAAAGTTTCCTTTCCAAAGAACAGCAGCACAACAGATATTCTTTACTTTTACCATTAAGTGAAAATAAAGTCTTTATTTAACATAATGTTTTATTCTGGTAATAAATGTACAGTATATACAATTATTTATATATTTCATCTGAGAAAATTTTCAATTAATATACATTTATAAAGGAAATTATTGTATGTCATCTGCAAATAAAAACTGTGCAACCTAGTAAACAATGATGAATCTTTTCTTAACATTCTTATATATGAAATACACCAGTACACTGAATCACTTTTATAACGACTTGGGTAACAGTTGGGCTCCTAATAAATAGTTACTGTAAAAGTATGAACAGCACCCACTAACAGAGTTTGCCCACTCACACACTTAAATGAGTTTCTCTATAAAGAGATACAAAGTATGAACAGAGCAAAGTCTTGAGTATGCTATGAGCATGTTTTGGTAAGAGATACCTATTCAGCAGTGCCATAAAAGATGGAAAAAATAATACAGAAATAAATACAAAATGAAGAATAAAACTTCAAAAATGTACATGAAATATACATTCTCAATTAAATAAACTGGAGTCGATAAGGAATCCCAACACAATTGCACACTGAATATATAAAGTATTTACTTCAAACAATCCACATTAGTATGCTTTTTACCTCATTGTGCTACTTAATGGTATCTTTGGTGGTTTATACTCAAAGGATATCTAATACTTTGATACCAATTCCATACACTTGAGAGCATATTCAGTTGCTGTCAAAACAATTACTTCTTAAAATCACTCTAGTCTCAAACCTATACAATTATTTCTACTTTAATCAGTACTTGTGTATGGGTTCAATAAATAAAAATCACGGAATTTGATGAAGTTTTTTTTTAACACAAATAATGAAAGCTATCTTCACAAAGTTAAACAGGTACATAAGAGGAAAATGAAAGAACAATTTTATAAATAATTCTTATGAACACACTTGTCTTCAGTAAGATATCTGGGGATAATCTTTCCATCACTAATACCTTCCAGACATTCCAGAAAAGAGAAATCTCTGGAAGATAATAATATAAGAGTACTTAGTGTTTACAACAACACATGCCATTTGTTTCATGAAACCATGGCTAGCTTTTTGATATAAATTTGCATTCTTCTTTATAAAGACTTCTCATCCACCAGCTCCAAATCACTATAATAAGCACCGATTGCTGAATCAGTCAACATGAAAATGTCTTGACAAGTTAGAAACAAAACTTCCTTGTACTGAAGATTACAAGTTCCATCTTAAGTTTTCCTAGTTTGTTGAAACGTCTGTTCTTCACACACATTCAATGGACATGTATTTGAGGACTAGTAGAACTACTATCCATAAGATTCATGCTTGCTTATAATGTAAACTGCACAAAGGACAAAATATAAATTTCAATCTCACTCTTTGAGGCAAATATTTTATACAACACCAGTCTACAAGTAATTCAACAGAATCTGTTAAGACATGATGAGTAGCAAAATAACAAATCTTTATGTGCAGCTTTTAAAGATTGACCTGCAATAGTCAAATCTATTTCACAAACCCTGCACATATAGACCATGGAATTGTGAAATCTAATATCAAATCACTTGTTTATGCTCATTACAGATTCAGGCAGCTCTCATTTAAGCCATATTCAGTAACAGTGTTGACCACATTCTGGATGCACATACCACTTTGAGCTTTTTAAAGAAACAATTCAAAATACATTGGAAAGAAGAACCAGTTCAATAACTGAAGTCTAACCATCATACATGAACCCACAACTTCTATTGCCAAACATAGCTTGCACAAGAGAGCAGAAGGGTTTGGTGGCAAAGCATGAAACAGATTTGCTACCCTTGTCATACCATAAACCAGGAGTAAAAACTTACTTGGAAGAATTGTTCAGATTGCACCTGGTTGTTCGGGAATGAGAGAAGCAAAAAAGCTAGTGAAGAAAGTCCAAGTGACAGCGAGGAGGGATGGCCTATCAGGCTCTTGAGCAGGCTCCCCAGCTTCACTGACCGCTTCCTGGTTCCCTCTTGGCACATCCTCCCCTTCATTGGCCTCCACGTTGTTATTGTCAACAGGTCTGGCATCCACTGGGACATTATTGTTCTCTGCAGCAACCCTTGCCACTTGTAGCTGTTGCTGTTGAATTCTGAAGAAACCAACTTGGTAGCTAAAAATAGAAGTAAAATAGAACAAATTTGAGGACTAAACCGCTTTACTGTAGACTTCAAACAATATAAATAGAAGCTTTCAATTACACATATCTGAATAAGATAAAATAAAAATTAAAAAAAAAAACTTTATTTCTGTCAATTACAGGTGTGTCTTAAATGTGCCATGTGCAATAAAATCCATGAAATGTTTTATGGTCTGTTATTCATTTTTAGCAGAATTGTAATGAAAAGTTTACAAGGGAACAAAATTTAACAGCCATTTTTAATATTATATGAAATGAGGCAATTTCCATTATCAGCAGATACAAGCTGGCATTTGTAATGTTATGAGCAGTTGTTATCTGCCAAATAAAAGAAAAAAAATTTTTCCTGTGTCATACCCAATGAAGGCACAAGTTTCACAATTTAATCCCTTTACCCTCTATCATAAATTTAATACTTAGGAATGCTAAAATATATTTATTATTCATTTACATAATTATTCAGGTAAATAACTTTGAAAATCTTCGAAACAAAAATTGGGGGAACTTACAGGTACATCATGATTGCCAAAGCTGACACTATGACAAATCTTGTTGGAGAAGAGTAGAAATAAACAATACTGAATAAAACCATGAGTCTACTCATAAAATAAAACCAATCCAGCCAATCACGATTCATACGGTTGTCATCATCCCCATCTGTGAACACACCATAAGCATGGAAATAATGATGAGGTGAATAAACAATATTCATGGATGAAATAATAGATGTCGCCTTTGTCAACTGGAATTCATTTTGAGGCATTTGACAGACTTTGCACGATCATGAAAATGAGTCGAAGTCCATTCTAAAAATAATTTCAAGTAGAGAGATGACATGTATTATATTATCTACAATACAATATACACACAATCAGACTAGTACCAAATTTATAAGCACACTTTATTCTAAACGAGAATAAAAGAAAACAGTTTCCCCTGATTATCAATCTACAATCTTCACATCAGTAAAACTATTGCTACACCCACTCACCTTATACTTGGGTGCTCATACTTAAGGTACAAGCAATTATGAACTTCTTATGTTTGACTAAAAATTACTCCTAAGCTATGAATATTTCACGAAAATGTAGATAAAACAATTTAAAAATCTAATATTGAACTTTTCCAATTTTTGAAATAAAATGAAGGAAGTTATAATGAATATTGAACCAATACTATACTATAAAGATAATTTTGCTATCTATATTTGAGAAACAAATTCAAAGTAAAAATTAAAACTATTCTCGAGAAAATTTTGAAAATGGCCTGAAGACTTCATGTAAAGAACCCCCAAATACTGAAAGATCTGTTTCAAATTCAAGGGCCTGCAACATCATCTTCCTCATTGAACAGGGAATTATTCACTTTGGCGAATATCCTCTGTGTATGGTTTAGGCACCAATATTGTACACAGACTGACATTTTGATAAAAAAACAAAAAACATTACAGTATTGAGGACCCATTCAATTATTTTAAGTATATTACAAATTAAATATATAATTTACAAATATATCAAGAAGAAAACTCCACTTTTTTTGTATCATGGAGCAGCAAAATTTGTTTTTTGTCAGAAAACCTGCACTTTTTCTGCAGCATTTCATAATAATGCATTAGGTGAGAAGTAAAATATCTCTAAGTAGCTGAATGTCTAAAAAAATTAATATTTTGCAATCTTCGAAACGTTTGAGATTTTAATGAAAATGTGACCATTACAATATTCACAAGCACAGAAAACTCTATTCAAGAAAAACAAGTTGGAGCCTCTCTAGAGAGTAAATTTAAAGGTGAGATATATTCCTAAATCATAAACTTTCTTTTCAAATTTATTAGAGCTTTCAACTGAGTGTATTGATAGTGATTTGATACTTATTGGAAAAAGAAAAAAGCTGAATATGGATTGGGTAAGTAAGTGTGTTGTTCCCAGACAAGACACTCAGAAGAAACTAGCAGAGACAGAACAGCACATGTTTTCTTGCATCACTAACAGATACGTAAAATTGTAATACTGCAATTTCTGTCCAGACTATTGCAATTTAGCCATCACTTGTAAAACTCGTAATCAATTGTTGTGAATTGGACATGAAATCTTAAGCTAATACACCAACACAAATTCAACAATCCAAAACTCTGGTCTTTTCACCAAGAAACACTGTCCAACGATGAGAAGTTATTCTGAGAAATAGTGGACCCGGCAATGCTTCGCTATTACAATGTATTTCTTTCTCTTCACACACAACTGGCTAGTTGATTATTAACCACAATATACACTTTGCTCTGCAAAAATGTTAATAGATAAAAGACTTTCTTGCGAGTAAGGGTTTGCTCTGAGTCCTGGTTTCGATATGGTTGTCAAGTATTCTAATGTTAAAATGTTCACCCTTAAGTTCGGGCATACATTTGCTAATGACTCTTAGAAAAATTTGATTTACTTGTCCAAGATAATGTTCCATAATTCCGGCCAATATTTCACAATTGCAGGAGCAGAATATGCAGCTACGATGCGCTTAATACTTGAGGGTGTTGCGGGTTGCATAGATTTTCTGTTCGGGGGGATTAAGTTATAAACACACAAAGTCATCAACGCTCGTCTATGTATAAGAGACATATGCACATTCCCACTGTACTGTGCTAATATTCTTTGTACAAGTGCAAGTAATAAGTTGACAATGTTGTATCATAATAAGATGAACAGTATGGCAGTGCATACAATACCAACATTGATATTTTATACATTAAATTTCCAACTGTGGCACTGTGTTCTATTGTTGCACGCGACGATGGTGTAACGGTTAGCGTACCGGACTGTACACAAGTTGGCGGGTTCAAACCCGATCGAAGCCGTGGATTTTTAAGGGCGAAAAAATCCTTCGTATGCCTTCCTTCCTCAAGCCTAAATGACGCCTCTGAGCAAAATCCAAATCTCCTGTTTCTTGCCCAAGTAATACCTCCTTTCCCTGCTAGTTGGTGAAAGGAGCGTAACAAAATTTGCATGGTCAGACAGAAGAGCAGGCCTCATGGTTTGAGTCTCGCCACGTAAAATAAGGCAGTAATTCAATTCAATGCAACCTGACAACTCCTGAATGATTCCAGCAAAAGAAGTGTGTGAAACTTGAATCAGCAAAACTACTCTAAATTACTAATATTCATAAAAAATTATACATGCCCTTTTTCAAATAACTGATTTTTCAGAACAGATATCATTTAACAATAAAATCAATATTGTACTTTCACAATGTTACTATGTTGTTGTTGTCATTGTTGAAAATACAGAGAGTTTGCGGAAAATGGGATCAGCACTGTGCATTGCTACATACAAGGGGAAAAAAAAGTTGAAGAAAAAATTCAAAGACTTTCTGAGAATGTAATTGTTTTAAAACTGCCTCTTCATGCAAAATTACACAAATAGACCTCATTGTTGAAACCATGACCTAATTTCAAAGACTTATGTTAGATGAACAGATTTCATTATGAAAAAAATTATATCTTTATTATCATAACTGTAGAAAGATGCCAAAAAAGTTTTGTTGCAATTTTTTGATAATTCACAGTTGAACTAAAATCTAACAAGCACCACTTTCTTAACCATTCTTTCCTACATACAAGGAACAAATTTTAAGAAAAAATTTGAAGTCATTTTAGAGAAAATAATTATTTACAATTATTTTAAAACTGCCCGTTTCAAGCAAAATTATGCAAAAACTAGTCATTTTTTTAAAAACGTTTACATGACCTTATCCTAGATCTGTCTGAACAACAGATTTCATTAACAAAAATACCTCAAGTGATTTGTTCACATTATTGCATTTATGAGTACTTTGGCTTTAAAAATTGTGCACAAAATTATAAATGGGTCCTTGATACTTTTGATACACCAATTCTTGGGTGGCATCAACAGCAACTGATTCCCTTTAGAAATGACTCAATAATTTTTTTTGATACTTTGAATTCTTGTAAGTCTCCTATCTTCTTTTCTTCAATTTTGCAAATTAATTGTTTTCTTCAAAGTCCATTTTTTTCCCTTTTTTTCATCTTCCAGCAACAAAGACACATCCATCTGTTTCTATTAGCTTCTTAAACATGCCACTAAATCATTGAATTAGCCAATGCTGAGATACCCAGAAATCATGGCCCTGCTTTATCTCCTCTGCTGCAAAGACCTGTTCAGTATTTAGTACTTAGTTATATCATCGGCTACAGTTTCTTCCAAGACATTTTTTAGTACAGCTGGAATGTATGTGACAAGAAAAGAATGAGAATAGCCAGAATGAGTTAGGATATAGGACTTGACATGAAAATAATCAGAAACTTAAAAAAAAATTATGTTTCTTTCAATAGTTGTTTAATATTATTGTAAAATTTAGGACTTTCTTTGTATGTGTAATATTGCATTTCAATTCTAATTGATAGTTCATTTCAATTCTAAGTTTGTTATTGAGTTTTTACAGTTGTATGGGATAGAGTACCAAGATTGCTCAATGGTTACAGCATAGAAGATCAACAGATTTAGTCATCAACCATTAGTAATGACTCTCAGAGAAGGAATTTTCATTAGTCATGCATTCAACTAATTTTTATTTTTCTCTATTAAAATTCGTAAGGCGTTTCACACACTTTTTATAGGAAATTAAGCCAAAGCATGATGTTGGTGCCACTGAATAATTTGCCAGCTTTTATTTCGCAGAAGCATCAAAGTAAGAATAATCAAGATTTGCTGCACACACAAAAATCCTCCCAAAAGATAACAAGACCTAGTGCTTTTTAAGGAATATTATAATTAAATATCTTTGACCCTGGTGAAGAAGCTGATAAGTCATTAAATAAATAAATAAATAAAATAAAATAAAATAAAAAACAACAACAACACCCAACAACAACCCCCCCTTTCTGTTGACGCTGTAAATCAGAGATTAATGATTTCGAATGAAACCTACACACAAATACTTTAGTTTGAATATTGTTAATTCCTGATTCACTTCGCTTACAAGATATGTTTTGCTCTCCTGTAAAATTGAAGCATTCATGACTTATCAGCTTATTCACCGGGGTCAAAGATATAATTGTAGACGTTTCTACGATATCTAAAAATTCTTCTTGAAAGTCTCCGACTTGTCCTCGTTTTCCAGATACCAGCCCATCTAATTTCGTTAAATAATTCATTTGATCATTTTATTAATCTTTCATGTGAGACCAACCTCACTTGTGGACTCCTCTCAGTGCACATGGATTTTTCTCATCTTCACCCACCCAAAAAGTGGAATTACCAGATATTTACTGCAAATATTGGCACGATTCTTCAACAAAAATTCTCTTTTACTTAGTTTAACAGTAGGTTTTCAATTTCATTGCCTTTGACTGGACCAAAAGCTACAAAACCATACAATGCTAAAGAACTTCAAAATCTCGTGAGCTCCTCCAATAAGCCAAAGAATATTGCTTATCAGGTCACCAACACAAAATTAAAGAATTAAAATGGCCCTTTCTGGCAGAGCAAGCCACAAAGACTACATGCACACATTTTCTTGATCCTCCAGCTCCCTAGTTCTCGCTCAACCTGGTAGAAAATACAATTTCCACTCGGATCGCCACGGCTCACTTTGCAGTGATGACCACCTTTTACAATGTGGACTTCTCAGTTTTAACAACCACTGCGTACCATGCTCCTTCTTGTTACTTTATTTCTACAATTATTATTTTTTGAAAATTGTTAAAATCCTTGTGAGGTTTTTCATTGCTACCTAGTCCAAGATGTGCTATTATGCTGTGTTTTATGTATATGAATTTGGCAGGCATGCACTGCCGTGATGTAGACAGAATCTGCCTCTGTCCGCACTCCCCGCTGAGGAGTATCACGAAAAAGTGTGCATATAATACTTCCTCCTCCTTGCGGATTTCAACAGAAATAGCTACTTGAATTGTCACACACCCTAAGGACAAGTATGATAAAATTAAGACATCACATGTCTTAATTAACTTGATTGCAGCCTAGAATAAAGACTCCATTCAGGAAAATTTTGACAAAAGGCTGAAGGTAGATAAAAATGGTGCAATTTATATTGGTATTTTTTTAACCATTACCAACTATAGGCTTGTAGAACTTCCATATGTACTCCTTCTAAGACAGGGAAAGATTTTTAAGTCCTGCAACAGTTGCACATCATCCAAAACTGCATCACCCCATAAATTTTTTTTCCATCACCAGCTAATACACTAGCTGATAAATGTCTTAGAGTGAAATCAGTGGGTCCAGAAATTGTTTTCGTAAGTATTTCCAGAAAAAGAGTTCAGTTTGTTTAGATATAGTCGATTATACAAAATATTGGATGAATTGAAAAAAGTTGTGATGAAAAGGCATATTAATTTCACAAGAAAATTTTCAGATAGAGAAATAAAAAAACAGTACACTTTTGAAGGAAACCAACACAGCTCGTACTCACAAAATATCAAAGAGCCTGCACAGTCCATTTATATATTGTTTCCGACCACAATATACCAAAATCAAATCAATTAATCAAAGAATATGCCAAGAAAAAAATGCTTCTTTTTTTTTAAATACAAAATTTTGAAGAGAATTCTTTTAGTTACAGAGGAATATACATTTTTATATTGGTACTCCCAACATTCATATCAGTAACGACAATATAATAAGAGAATACCACAATCTCCAGCACAAGTTGGCTTATCACTGCAAAATGAAGTGAATAATTTTGATGTGATACTCATTGACCACACCCATTTTAACTTGGCACAATTGGGCGTCAAAAAATTGGTCAGATGACTAAATGAACTTGCATATTGTAGGCCACAATGCAAGTACAAAGCAGGTATTAAAAACTTCAATGTTTTTATCTGTGTAATTTACAAATAGTTGACATCATAAATGGGAGAATTTATGACCAGTTGATAACTGATACTACAAAACATTACTATTTTTATATTAATAATAGAATTTGAATAAAAGCACACGTACCAACTACATTAATATCATTTGCTGCCTCCACAGGTTCTTGATTGTTCACAGGCACCGCAGGTTGTTCTGCTACAGGTGTGCCAGGGGCAACAGGCTGTGCAGGAGGAGACATAGGGGGTAAGGTACCTCCTGCTGCCATCCTAAAACAGAACAAGCAAATATCACTCCAAATGTGTTCAGATTCAGAGTTCTCTCTTTTGGTACACAGAAACAACAAAAAGAAAAGTGGAAAAAAAAGAAAAGAAAAAAAAAATCTAAATGAAATTAAATAAAGGGCTTGGATCTTGATAGTCCAAAGCCATGTTGACTTCATTCTGAGAAATAATGAAAATAAAGGTTACTATTCAACATTCCTTGGCACAGAGCAAAGCATGTCTGAACAGTAGAGCATCATTTGTTACACCAGCACTACAATTCTTACAAAAATGTATACTCAATATAGCGAGTATCTTATTTTCATCAAAAGTGTGACAAAGGACAAGTAGAGCCAAGCCCTTCAAAATATAATCATAAGAATTTGTTTGTGTATCTAATCAATATAATACATAGGATTATACAGATAAACGAAAAACTATATAAGAATCATCAATTGAAGGAAAATATTATGAAAAGGATTGTAAAAGTTATAGAACTACTACTAATTGAAGCACTTATTGTGTTATGAAAACTAACAAAACATTTTGGTAAAGGGTATAATAATAATTATTATTATTATTTCAATTATTATTATTATTTCAACACCTCACACAATTCAAGAACAGAAAACAAGACTGAAGAAAACAACATCTTACATCTGCATGTACTGCGTCATGTACTGAGCATAAACTTGATGCATTAGTGCCATCTGTTGCATCATGTTGTTGGGATCATACATGGTCCCATAGGGTTGAGCCATAGCAGCTGCCCATGTAGCACCTGAATCTGGAGGGGGAAGATGGCTGTCGGGAAGGGAACCTCCTCCTCCCGCAGGTTGGGGCACTGACGTCTCACCAGAAGACAATCGTTGTCTCAATCCATCAGATGAAACTGCTTCCATATTACTTGTGCCTGTACTATTATTGCTGTTGTCTTCTGAAAGTAAATTGTAAATGTAATATTTAACACCAATACAAAGAAAGCAATTGCTTTCTTCTAAGCAGTTAAATTTAACTGCTTATAGTGTATTATAAACAGTGGGTAAATAAAGAACTTCGCCAAGATTCACAGAGCAAACAGTAAAAAATGCAAAATTCTAGTTTCATAGGCTACTTGGTCAATAATCTTTAAAACCAATTAAATTACTATTATTTAAGATTTTCCTGATAATCAAACTCCTGTATTATGTACATTACTAATAAACTTGCTAGAAATAATATGTACCATTAACTCTGGCACACATTCTATAGCTTTCAAAATACACAGGGAATTGTTTCAAAGTTTCTAATCAAAGTCCAACTTGCCTTTCCTTGTCCTTAGTATTCATAGTTTCTCATTTAAATTAATGTACTTCCTTGCCTTAACCTTTAAAAAGTTGTTTAAATACGTTTATTCATATTGTTCGAATAATATTTGTCTGACAGCTGGGAGGAAGGGTAGAGAGATGTTACCGAATTCTCAGGTAGCAGTCAGGTAATCGTTCTTGCATCAGAAAACAGCAACAGTAGGAAGAAACAAATCGCAATAAGAGCATACAACGGTAGACAACACAGAATCCCACAATATATAACCAAACAAGTAACGGCATTCTTCAATTTTCCGTTACTTCACCCTGTATTATGTAATTTTTTCTTAATAAGCATAGACAACTCTGCAGCTACATCATTAGAATTTGAAACCACTGATTGGATAATGGAACCCCCTCTCCCTTATCAGCCATTTGTTCATTGACAAAAATCTATTATAGTCACCTCCAACAAAATCAAGTGGATCCCTGATTGTAAGCATCTTCTGCTTTCCCCCCCCCCTCTTTTTGATATAAACTGAAGCGTCTTCTTTCAACAAATTTTATATGACATGGCACACTTACAATCAATTTCAGCTGTTTCTATTTTACATACCTCAGAATATAACACTAAAAAGCTTATTTTCACATATTTGAGCCTTATAAGCATATTTTTCTGGATATTCACCCTTTCTTGGCAGAATATGTTTCTTCCCTTTCTTTACTTTTAGAAATAAACATTAAATGCATCTCAAATTATTTACCTCAGAAACGAGTAGTTTCCTTAACAATTAAGCTCTTGTCTTAAGAGTTTTATATAAAAGCTAGCAATTTATCTGACTTGTAGATCGTATTTTTTGCCGATCATCTCTATACCACATTCAACCATTTTACATATTTTTGTTAATTGCATTAATGCCAAATTTATTTAGATAATTAATTTAATGTTTTTATTGTGTATTAATCACAGCCCTAGTCATAACATTTCAAAAATCATACATAATGGACTCAAAATGACAAACCAATTTTTATCACTAGAACTACAGCTACAAGAAATGGAAAAACTTTCCATTTTGACTAAATTAAACATAAAATACCTGTGGCGTTAGAATTTCTCCTCTCACTCATTTTGGCTGGTGGCCTGGGACTTCCTCGCCTATTACAGTCTCTTGGGGGTGTGCACACAAGATGGACTGTATGAGCTTCTTGACCCTCATACCATCTCAGAATGTCTCTCAAAATAACGCTATCAGATAAAAGTTGTCCAGAATAGATAAGTTTTTGATCCTCGGTGCGCTGAAAACAGACACAACATATAAAAATGCTTTTATTAGTGTAAAAATGTATTATCTAAAATATACAGAAGGCAAATGGGAACTAAATGTAAAAACAATGAGTTAATGTTACTACTTTATGGAACATTTTTGGTTAAAAAAATACAGTGCATACCGGTTTACTGGGATAAACTTCTGACAAATATCCTTTTAGCTTCTTTATTGTCCACGTTGGTTCACATTTAATTGTTTGGTCTTCAATTTGCTGATTAGGTGCCTTCACAATTAATGTAACAGACATGTCAATCATGTCCATACCACTCAACAATGTCTTCTAAATAGCTTATAATCTACAAAAAAAAGAATTTAAAATAAATATCATCACCATTGTGCAAAACACTCATGTTTTGTTACCTGTCTTAACAAAATTTACCAAGACAAAATTATCGTAAATGGAGAAATGACAATAAGCCGATTCCGTTCCACCCCCACCACATACCCAAGGTCAACATTTACACTTCACAAATCGGTACCGCCAATCAGAAAAAAAAACACGTCTCGTGAAAATGAACACTTTTTTGCTCCGCGCAGAGAAACTAAATTCGCTTACTTGGTCAAATAAAGAAACATCTGAATAAGAGAAATGAGTACCTACATTGGGCGACCCATTTCCAAATAGGATGACTACCGCATTAAAAACTAAAAACACATTTCAGAAGAACAGAAGTCCTGCAATCATTTTCCACAGAAACCTAAACAGCAACTGGCTGCATCTATATTCGTCATGCGAAGTGACATCCAACACATCTTTTCAATGCTGATAAGCAGAGTATTGATAACAAGCACTTGTTCAATTTCCAGTTTCGAAATACTTACATGATATCCAAACTTTATATGCTCAAGTTTAGTCACAAATCATTATAATCACACTACACTTCAAATGACAACAAACTAGATTTGACGAGGAAAACCACGAATTTATGCAACTGCGACTTGAGGACTTCTGTCCTAAAATATTTGGCGTTATATGATTGGATAGCAAAGGAACACTTCCTGTGCTCTCATTGGTGGGGTAACAGCTGACGACTGTCAATGAATCTGAACCGAGAAAACCCAAATGACTAAACTAATCCTTCAGAGCTAACCTCTCTCGAAAACTGAATTGAACTATTTATTCACGACCATGTTTTCATAATCATCGAGTGACGTTTTTACCAATATAATACGTAATAAAAAAGATAGTATTTACTTCGTCATCGGAAAAGCAACACTTCTTGCGTATGCAAAGATCAGTGCTATATTATTCCGAAGGTCGTTTATCAGTTGATTTTCTAAGTTATAACAATTCGTGAAATTTACGACCATGAGCAAATTGTGGAGAGAGGCTGCGAGCATTATTATTGCAGGTCGAACAAATGTATTCAAATGTAGTAAAATCACCGATAGTAAGATAAACGGAAAATTTTCGCCCGATTATAAAATACTTGTTTTGAAACGTGGAAAAAGTAGCCGTTTCTTTCCTGGAGGATATGTTTTTCCTGGAGGTGCCACAGCGAATGAGGACAGCTGTCAAGAGTGGCTTAACATATATGAATCTCTCGGTTTCAAACCAGAACTCTTAAAGGTCCTAACGTCTAATTCACCGACAGTTCCCCTATTTTCGGATAATAGTAAACCTTTGCATAAATCCATCAGCTTAAGAATAACAGCGATTCGAGAAACATTTGAGGAGAGTGGAATTTTGCTTTGTAGAAGTCAGAAAGACTCCACTCCATCTAATTGGGCTGCATATATGTCAGGCCACCAGTTACAAGAATGGCAAAAAATTGTCCAAAATAATGCTTATGAATTTCTCAACCTCTGCAAGGAATTTAAATGTTTTCCTGATATATGGTCATTACATCTCTGGAGTAATTGGTTGACACCTACAAATAATCCTATTCGCTTTGATACTGCTTTCTTTCTGGCTACTATAGACCAGCTTCCACCTTCCTTCATGAACGATTTGGAAATGGATGATATGAAGGTGATTATAAGAAATGTAACATTCTGGTAATTATTAATTTGCAATGAAGTAATAATGTATATTTCTCTCCATTTCCATGGCTTAAAACACAAAGTGGTGCCACCCACAAGAATTACTTCAAGGTAATATTCAAGATTCAGTCTGGTTACCTCCTCCTCAGTATTATGAGATGTCAAGAATAGTGACATATCAAAACATTGACCAGTTGAATAATTTTGCTGTAGAAAGAACCAAACATGGGTGTGAAAGATGGATGCCTGTTCAAAAGAAGGCTAAAGATGGAATTATTTGCTTTCTACCAGGTACAGTGGGCTATGAGTTCAGTTATGATATATCTCTATCTTACTTGGTAATAATAATGTATTTCATTTCCTCAGGTGATGAGCAATATCCCCAAAAAATAGATTGCAATATAAAAGATAAAATGGGTGAACTTGAAGGAACAATGAAGAATCTAAGAAGTAGTTCTCGTAACATCCATAGAATGGAACTGTGTGAGAATCAAGGCACAAAAATATTCATTTCTAATGTTGAACCAATTTCTGGACATACATTACCAAATACAAATTCAAAATTATAAAATATCTATACATTTTTGGTGAAGATTGTGAATTACATTTTACTTGATAAGTATAGACATGTTTGCAAACAGTATAATTGAAATTAGCTACATGATAAATCAATCATGATAAAGAGAAGGATCAACCTACAACAATGATCACAAAAGCAGTTTGTGGTGTTTGTCAACCATTGTTTTCCTTTACTTCTAGACTCGTTTTTCAAAAATTTGCAATGGTTAATTAAAATTTTATTTGTTTTACAATGTTTTGAATATGAAAAATGTTTAACATGTATTAATCCTCATGGTTAAAATAATTATAAAAAAACCTACAAAATGGAGAACAAATCCAAAAGAGTTATGGAAGTGGTGTTTGGATTCACTAGAGGAAAGGTCACACTGATGTACCTGATGTTTTCTTTTTTCTTGCAATAATGCTTGTTCAGTTTTGTAACACCTGTATTGTTTTGTAATATTCAGATACTAAGCATTTACATAGTTTCAATGAGATCATGAGAATAAATTTACTCTTTGAAGCATTGACTCAAAAACTCATTAAAGGAAGAGAAAACTATGATGACACAAGTTTTCAAATTATTGTCCTAAATACTCGTATTTTTTATGAGCCGTGGCTGAAAATGTAAACTACATCCCTTTATTTCAAAATCTGAGATTAGAGAAAAGGCAATTATGATACTTGATATATTAAGAGGAAGTTAGGAATACTCATGTGCCATCCTAAAAAAGAATTAAATTTTGTAAAGCCATCGTTATATTTCTGGACTTATAATTCCAATTAATATATGTCAATTGCCACTATTGTTACTACTGTAAGATGATTGCAATTTATACTATTGTATTTTTTCTACTGATGTATTGTATTTGTAACTGAAAGAGTCACTAATAACCATGTTGTTGATGCAACTAAATTTTTTTAAAAATTAAATAACTGGTTTTGAGTAAATTTGAACTTCAGACATTCTAAACAAGCTTTCTTGATTAGCCTTTTTTAGGTTAGAAAAGGTTTGTAAACAAATTATACAAATAGAAAATATAAAAGGGGATCCGAATAATAGTGCACTTTTTTCAATGCTTTCCTCCCATAAATTTCAACTACTGTTTCCTATGGTTTTATTCCATATGTTGCTTATAATCGCAATTCAGTTGCAATATTTATTATAACAAAACACTTTATTACTGGAAAATGAATGTCAAACTTCATGCAAACAATTTGCAAGATTTTTAAATCATTTTTCAGACATACCATCATGATTCAGTTTCAGATTTGAGTTATCTGGAATGCTTCCTTCATTGAGAAAGAGATTTAATGAATAGTTATGCAAATGTATAATTAGTTACACATGAAAGGATGAGATATCTCCATTCAGTAATTTTTATAACATGTTATTTAAAAAAATAACATTAAGTTGAATTAAAGTGTGAGTGTGTGTGTGAGTACACCTTATGTGAAATATTTAACATGTTGAAAGTGTTTCCGTTATTCAGAGAAATTTCCCAAACTTTAAAGAAATATTGTTGCTTCACATTATATGTGCAATCTTCAAAAGAAACAAATTTTAATGTGCAGATACCAAGGGTAAGCACCAATGTCCTGCAGTCAAGATGTTTTTTGAATATAGTGAGCCATTTATAAACCAATTAGATGCAAGTTGGGTAATTGACTCACAGGACAAAACTATGAAAAAAAATTAGGGTAAAATATATAATGATGTTTGAAGTCTAACAAATAAGAAACCCATAATTTGTGCAATTTTCTGAACTTCTCTTTTAAAGATTTCATAAAATTGTGTAACTACAAATTTCTTTTCATTTTTCAGTAGCTAAAACAATACTAAATGGAGCAAAATAAAAAAATCAAAATTAACTGAACTTTTTTATTTTTTGGCAATTATCACTTCCTCTCCCTCTAGTTTCAGATTAATAGCAGAATTTGCAGAATATAAAAATAATAATAAGTACGGTACATGTGATAACTCTAAAAAAAATCTTGAAATACATTCTTTGTCAATTATGTCATATCACAGTCTTAAAAATGCTATATCTATAACTGTCTACAACTCTTTACATGAAATTAAAATGTTTTAGAGTTAACAGAAGGAAATAGAATTGTCAATGCACCAACATAAAAATATTTTCTAGTTAAACACTATTTAAAATATATATTCACTAAATACATTATTTTCTTATAAAACAATCTTTACAATGTTAACTGATTAACAATACCACAACTTAGTTGACAGCAAATAACCTAGTATTTTCCTAACGTAGTACAATTTCACATAATAATTCACAACTGGAAATTTCGAAGGAAAATTATGATCTCATTAGTGCAAAAGAGTTTAAATATGAAACATTTCTGGAATATTAAAACTAAATTGAAATGCACAATCCAACAACAGTATGATGAAATTAAATACAGACTAGATTTAAATTCATTTCATGAATTATCTCATATCATGCACACAAAATATTTACAATGTTGAGATTTTTTTCAAGAGCGACACAACACATACACATTGTTCTTTGGATGAATTATCAATCTGACAAACACACTGCACAAAGAAGTATTTCATATAGCTGCATTCACAAAAGAGTATGAACTTCCATATATTTGTTGTAAAAAGTAATTATTGAGTGGATTTGCAGATAGAATAATTTTGTATTACATAATTCCACTTAGCAGTTTGTCATCTTTTCGAAATACCAAAATGAAGTTATGCTTCTTTTACAATACTCTTTTAATGAAAATATTTCACAAATATTGAGTATTACTTCAGTACCTCTTACTTACAAAGAGAAACCATTCTAGTGTAACAGCTTAGGAATGCATAGTAATATGTAGATATACACAAAGTAACAAAATATATTAAGATATGACCCAAAGCACTTTATCAAGAAAATATCAAGCTGTCTTATATTGAATGTCTCAAGAACAATGATGGCAAATCATAAGGCATAGCGGAAGAAAAAATTAGATAACTCTACATAGCATTTCTTTTCTTTCTGAATTCATGTTTTTACAATTTATTCCAAAAGCAAACTTCAAAGTACCAGGATATAAAATTACTGAGATATATCTAGGTGAGAATTGTTGGATTTGCCATTCTTGCTGGAAGAGGAAAATGTAAATTGTGATTTAAAAATTGACACATTTTACATAATAAAATCATTACCTCTTTTAGGAAACAGTACAGTGTTTTTGTTTGAACACAGCTTGATCAGATGATTAAGATGTAAATGAAATAAAGATTACACAAATAATACTGTTCTTTAATTTTGTGGCAGAATTACAGTTTTTAATTTTGTATTTAATAAATTGACTGATCATCCCCCTGTACACCAAGTTTGTTTTATTTATTTCTAATTGATGTATATAAAGAATGTGGTAACAAATAAACACAAGACCAAGTACATTCTCAAAACCCTTTTAGTGGAGAATGTTTATAGCCTTTCAATTATGCTGATGACTTTCCACATTTATAGAAATGGCTAATATTTTGTAACAGATAAAAAAAAAAAAAAACCCTCAAAGATTTACAGTTTATATTCAGTGGTGCCGGAACTGGGATGAGGACACAAGAGTTGATGCCCCTCCACCCTCTATTTTTTTGCATTTTTTTATGCATTTTTTTATGGACCTAGTACATAATTTCAACATCACATTTATGTGACATAATTAATTTTTTTTTCAGACATATAAAAAACTTAACAAATTAAAAATTTACATTTACTCTGAAAAATGAAAATTGATTAATTCAGAACCATCATATTTTAAAAACATAGAAAATAAGATAAGGTAATACTAAAATTATAAAAATTTCATATCTAATGTGATAATATTATTTATAATGGTTTATTGTTGCTTTGTGTTGAAGCATTACTATTTGGTAATAAATTTCAATATTTTAAATTGTAATTTAATCACTGTAATGTAGCATAATATGTGATGTTTTATTACGAAGACAGGACGACTATGCGTTGTACTTGGTCAGTAGTGCAATCCAGTTGAAATGGTCACATTTAAGATACGCAAGAGTGACCATCATTGATAGTCAGGAAATAACTTAGTAAGTGGTTTTGATACAACCATAAAAATTAAACTCTTAAGAAATGAGACAATTGTAATAAAGTCAACAATAAAGCAACAACTCTTGGAGAGAAAAAAAAGGGGGGGGGTCATTTTTAAACCAGTATTTGCTTTCTCAGTTTCCTATTTAAAATTTAATTCTGGCATCACTGTTTATATATGTTAATCAAAGAGGCACATATTAATATATATTTTTCTTTTTTGATGCATAAGATTTCTCTTGCACAAGGTCAAATATCAGTTAAACTCAAAGATTAGAATACACGATTAATTTCGAAGTACATTAGCATAATAAGACCAAGTCAAAAGGGGGAGGGGACATAACCTATCTAAAAATAATCACACAGATTTGTTAATGGGTCTGATATATTTTTCATCACATCAACACATAAATAAAGATCACTAATCACATTCATATAAATGAAAATTAATGAATGCATGAATTTAAGCCACAGCAGAAAGTTTATTATCAAATAGAACTATTCTCATTCGTAGTCTGAAAAAAATGAAGACTTCTAGATTATATGCTAGATTATTTGCTTGAACTTTGAGTTTCACTATCTTCTATCAAATTTGCCAAATAGTTTCACAAAAATGTACAAATGTCAATTCAGAGCATCATACTTAAAATTGGTTACAATAAAACAAATCAACCCAAAAAATAGAGGAATCATATGCAAAAATGGTCAATAACATATGTTCAAAAACTTTACAATTTCAACAATTTGTTCCATTAAAAAATATTTAAGAGAAGAATATACTAATAAATTTTCATAAAATCAATGTCTGAATTTTAAACTTCCAGTAAATTAATTCTTGCAAAAATCTTCAGATAGCTACTACAATAAATATTATTCTTTTCACACACAGTTTCCAATTACACCGAACAAGCATTCAAATTCAAAACCTTGTTCAACACGTTCTCTCACACATATATATCCACCACATTGTAATTAAAATTAAGATCAGTTCTCTATAACAATAGTTACAATACACATTAAATACCAGTAAAAAACATCCTAACCTTATGGAAGACATCACACTGCAGGGACCCGGCCAGCATTCAATGCTGCCATCAATCTTCGAAGCCGAGGTGGACGTTTTCTTCGTGGTCGAGTCCTCTGATGATAACAACGATATGCTAAACATACCACAAGAAATGAAAGAACTGTCAAGATCAAAGCGGGGCCTAGGCTCAAACTGTCTTCATCATAGTAGCCGGGATTTGATCCTTCTGTGCGCCAACCCCAAAGGTCTCCTGGCAATCCATCGTTGGGATTTCCAGAGCCCCCTTTGGGTGGGGGACCTATCTTCCAAACAGGAAACTGGCCATCAATTGCGAACGAGAGAAGTTTCTGGGACTGGTACAGATTTCTGAAAGAGACATTAAGTCAAGAGTGCATTAATATTGCAAACATTCATTCAGCGGGTCTCATTGATTATGGACACAACCAATAACTCCTGAAGTTCACAATATCATAATGTAGTTTTCATTCACCTTTGGACTGAATTATGGGACAAATAATGTAGCATAAAGATACTATTTGTAATATTTTTTATATCTGGAGAATATGAATTGTCTTTCATTAGTGAAAAGGAAATATTGAGGCTGGGCCAAATACCATGAACATAAAGATAATTGGTTAGGTTAGTAGGTAATACCTTTTGCCCACCTGTATATTTTTTTTCGCCAGCAATAAATGAATCTTAAAACGAAGTCAAAAATGTATCATTTGTCAATATTTACAAGTAACATTATAAATCGTTTCATTATTATAATGAAAATAAGTCCTAGCTGTTCATTTTTGTTGCCTAATAGCAATTAGTTGGCATTGGCATTGCCCCAGTCTTCATGAGTCAAGACCATTGTGATCGTTATTAGAAGCACATCCCAGCAGCTATCTTTCGCTTTTTACTTTCTTGCATACTACGTGTAGAATAAGAGAAAGTTATGTAATGATGTGGGACAAAACAGGCAATTTTATTGGCTGAAAAATTTGTATTGTAGGCCCCTGCAAGGTCTAAGAAGTATTCTTGCTCATCCCCAGAAAATTACTTCCTCAAACATGTTCTGAATTAGTTATCCACATTTTGTGCATCCTTGATAAAAAAAAAAAAAAATTGGTTTCAGCAAAATTTCTCCTCGCTTGTCAGTCAGGCAAAACCTTAAGCAGGATTTTCACCAAAATTGATATTTTCCTATAGATCTGGTTGATGTTGCGGCCCCTTGAATTCGAAATATGTTTTAATTTAAGGAGGTAGGGTACCTTGGTTGACCATTTTCACATTTTCCCGAAAATGACTCAAAAGTTTTTGGATGAAACGTTATTTTCGAACAGAGCAAATTATGTCTATAAAAATGGCTGAAGTTTAATTTTCATTGAATACTCTAAATTTTTGAAAATTTCAAAACTTTCATATATTTGGTGTCTTCCTACAACTACAGTATTGAAAGTAAAGAATTTTCTTTTGAATGAAATCTGTTCTTAAAAATTAGATGTTTAAATGAAGTCATGTACAATTTGTTCATAATATGAGTAGTTTTCATGAAATTTAGCAAGAAATAAAGACAAATTTAAAAATATAATTTTCTCATGAAAAATTCTTAATTTTCTCTTTAAACATTTTGTGCATATAATGGCAAATGCACAAAAAGACCTGGCATAAACGTATTTTAATGTATTTTTTTGATTTTTCACAAATTAGAAGAAAGAATTTTTTTTAATACATGTCTTGTGTTAGTAATATTTATATTACAGACACTTTTATGAATTTTTGCCTTTAAGGTCAAGTACTACAAATGATTTCCAATGAAGTTTCTCAGAAACTCAAAACTTTTTGTTTCTTCTACTCCACAGCTTTTATGAGGGCTGACGAATCAGCCGATGATTTTGAGGGGGACCATCATAGATTTTTGTTAAATAATAAACATTTGTTATTTTATTGTATATTATTTTCGTAGTGTACATACAATAATATTATTTAAATATTTCCATCATAAATATTTAAATCAGTTTAGCCAAATAAAGGAGGGCAACAAAGAAAAACTCTAGGCTCCCCCCTGCCCCGGCTTACATAGTTAGTTGTGAGTGTTATGGGTGATTTTTATAAATTGTTGCATTTGTCACTGCAAGTGCTTTAAATGATTTAGAATGAAATTGAGCTTAAAATTGCACATTTTCTGAAATGATTAAAGAACATTTTCTCAAGGATGATATAAAAATGAAACAATGAAAATTTGCCAATAGGACCATATTTTATTCTTCTGTACTATTCATAAAGTCATAATTCATTTCTCCTATTAGGGGATCAAAAAATTGAGAAAGAGAGAAAAATGTCTTTTTAAGAGCCATTAGGTTGCTGTTGGGAAGAGGGTGAAGTAATACCAAAAGGCTAGCCTGCAGTAAAAAAATTAGAAAACTTCTGTGAGAAAGTCTGTGCCGTTCTGTAGCAGCACTAGTTGTTATATGATTTCCTTAATGCTTAATACCACTCACTGACTGTATGATTGAATTTGTTTACTTATTTTCATATTAAATAACTCTTCAAACATTAACAAATTTATAATTGCACTCTTTTAGCTACTTACTACAGGGGCTAAAACTATAGTTCCATTTAAAACCCTAATTCAGAACCACCGAGTGAAAACTCATATCAACCCATATAGAATTTATCACAGGTGTCTATCGTTGGTGGGATGGTTTATATATTCACACACAATTGTACAATTATCTTCAATGTTGATGTAAAGTACACTGTACACAAAATTCTTGTTTTGAACACTTTCAAGAAAACACCGCAATGAAAGGACATAAAGAAAAATACTAATGAGAGACTTACGTACGTTGGTGCAGACTTGTTAAGAGGAATAGGATGTGTCCACACAAGATGAGGGCACTGAGGTAATGGCCTAGTTTGGAGACTACCCATATGATTCTCCAGTACCTTTGAATATCTTGAACATATAACTCAAAATTAATTTCTGCTGAGAGATAAAAAATATAAAAACTTAAAAATTATAATTCAACAGTCGTTGTTCAAACCAGTGTTCAGTACCTGTAAAGATGATTTCCTTCCATCCTCTGAGGCAAATCGATAATTTTTTGACTAAATTCGGACTGATGATATTTAAAAATTGAGGGAAGGTGACCAGAAGAAGTATATTCGAGCAATGCATCTAGCATCCAAAAGCAATCTGAAAAACAAAGAGAAGCATTTTAAAAACCACTATGCATCAGCACTATTAACATAAGTTCTTTTTTTAGATTTTTTGTCCAAAATTATTTTAGACGGTCATTTTTTAATAAACAAATTGAAAACAGAAACACATTAAACAGAAATCATTGTGGTGAAACCTATCATGTTGTATGGCTCATCAATCTGGGCATCTTAGCATGATACTTATAAAAAAAATTGAGTCAATCCAGCATAAATTTCTGCAATGTATGGCATGGAGATTATCATTGGAAGATTATTGCATGACCGTTCTAACATAGCTACTATTATGAATTTCAGTTCAATATCATCACATATAAAATTAAATGTATTGCTTTTGTTCAAACTAGTCAACAACTTCATAGATTGTCCATTTTACTCTCAAGTATATATTGGTTAATCCCTTCTAGAACTCATAGCCATATGTATCGTATACTTTATATACCTAATTGTATGATGAACAGATGGGACATCTGTTACATCTCCCAAATCACTCAGTAATGTATCAACATCAGTACAATACACTACATTGCCTTCCCTGGAGAACAAGCTCGGTCTTGTTCCCAACCACAATACACAGAAATCATGGTTCCCTTCTGAAAGAAGTTCCAACCCTTTAATAGGGACGCCACCAATTCTGCGTGACTCTTTGACAAGTTTAGATTATAAACTAGATCATTGAACTCCTACCGATTGATTCTATGAAGTTCAGTAAACGTTCCACCGAAATCTGGATCTTCAACACTGTCCTTTTCAGTACTTACGATTAAATTTTCATCGCCCAGGTTTTCGGAATGTAAGCTCCAATTGTCCGGAGGTGCTGGGAATGGACAGTCGTCACTGTGAGGAACAGGCCTGATAGCTGAAGGAAGGCTACCGTATTGAATGGACTCCTTGGTTTTCATTGTGATACCAGCAACTTTGGTAAGGCAGAAATAACAGTCTGCCGAGGGGTTCTTTGGTTTCCTCCATACCGTGGGTATTGCAAAAGGCTTATATCACGAATTTCCATTAAGCTAACCATGAAGTAATGCTATATAAGGCAGTGAGCAAATAAGAGGGTCTAACAATTTGTCCTGATCACTGACTCATGTGAAAGACACTTCATATACCTTTCTTATCAAAGAAGTGATATTCTGCCTTTGGCTCAACAAAGTTACCTCATCACATCCTTGACAGAACTTGTTTGATGGTATACACACTCGTGATATTAAAAGAAATCTGCGTAGTACACTGCACCTCTATCAACACCTTTCTCATTCGACTCATAGGGTACAACTAACAAGTGACTTCATATACAATGCGCCGAATCAGTGCACCTGCACTCCTGAAGTTACTCAACTTATTTGATTGGTTTGGAATTTATTCCATATCTTTAGTGAAATATACACTATCATATATTGTTGCTAACTACAGTCTTATAATAAACTCACAAGTAATTAGTGTTTCAGCATAAACGATACATGCCTTTCTGCAAAAATATGCCATTCTAGTATATTTGACATACATATGTGCAATTAATGCAAAAATTAAGCCTGTTGGACAACTTTTGTGGTTGTATTTGACTTTAGTATAGCAAAATACATAAGAAATAACTATAATTAGCCATTTAATCAAATCACTGTTGACCAGTGTAATCGTTGCTGGGAATCAAGAGTGCACCTGAACATTCACTCATTCCCAACCTTTCTTACCTTTTTGGAGATGACTGTTATCTAAACAGTTTGAATCACCATAAACAACAATCCGACCACTTTTTTCCTGTGCTTTGCTTTGCAACAATCCAAGTATTGGAACATTTTCAACGGTTACTGAATCTTGCACCAACACTTCTTGTCCTAAAATATGTTACAAATTGAAAGTGTTTTGAAGGACAAGAGAATGAAGATGTCTAAAGTACACAATACCACTATTCACAAATTAAGTAGAAATGCATTTTTGAAATTAGAAGAAACGTATATAGATCTTACTATACTACCAACATGTGTAAGCATCTCTGACAGTTCTCTTGCCACCTATTGTTATACATCATGTGACCTGCTCTTAAGCAACAAATTTTAAAGGATTTGTTTACGTTGCCAAGCCATGGTTCAACTTTGCCATTCATTTGTATGACTCATACAAATTCATTCAACGGTGAAGATAACAATCGTCAGCAACATCAGTTTTCAATGCTTGGGTTGAGTGGCAATTAGGTTTGGCACCAGCAGAGGCAATCAACATGACTTCAAAACGTGATTTCACATGGTAAGTGTTAATGTTTTAGAGATTTCATCTGTCTGTCATGTACATAGTATGCCGTGTGCATGGTAGTATGTGGCAACAGCAAGTTGAAATGTTGAGATGCTATACTGCTGGTACTGTAGTACTGCTAAATAATACCAACTACCTACCCTGATCTTTAAGAGTTTGAGAAATGATCAAGCCACCTTCTGGGAAACGTGATATGCTAGTACCAGAGGCAAAATACATATCATGATCCCCTAGCGTGAAATCACCTTCAAATACACGGTCTCCAAGAGCTATGCCCCATGACGACAATAAGTCATTTAATGCAGGAACATTCGCTCCTCCTGTGTCAGGCATCCACCATTGTCTAAAAAAAATATCAAGAAAATTAATTAATTTAACATACATTTCAAGATAACGACACAAAATCAATCACATTAACTGAGTGATGTTTCCAAGCCTGCCAACTGCTACGGCCCGTTGGTGTAGTAAGTGTTTCATCTTGGGAAGGGGTGGTGTTCCTCCTTTGCTCAATGGTGAGATCCAGTAATGAACTACACACCCGCTTGTGGGGAATTCCCCCTCAGATATCTCCCCCCGTGGGGTAGTGGATCAGCCAGGTTCTCAACTGGTCTCCCAACATGTGTGATAGTGCTGTGCATGTGTACGAGGAGAGGAAAGGACAAGGAAGAGGAAGGAATGTATGGTCTGTGGTCTGTTTGCTAGGGTTCCAGTCCAGCATTTGCCTGTTATAGATTGGAGAAACTGTGGAAATCTACAGAGCAGAGCAACCAGCCACTAAAACCTTCTTCTCCTTCACACACTTCCTGAATTAAACCTAGCTATTTGTTAGTACATTGACATTCTGTATCCCATCGGGTCCCGAATCCTTTGACCTCTCAGTCTGGACAAACAAACACCTGCAGTCTGGACTGCAGGGACAAAGCCAATGCTTGCTCTAAGCTCAACATAGCTGACAAAACCAATAATAATTTGAGCACCTTTGAGGAAACAGAAATCCTCACTGATACTTTTTTAACTTTTACTAATATCTTCTAAACCTGAATGCATTCTTAAAATATTTCAATTGAAACTTTATGAACCCTGGAGGTCTTGAACATTAAAATAATAACACATCAAATATAAGTTTTGTGAAATACAAATTTTACAGATGCGTATTAGATTTTTTTAATGCACGTTTTCAATTGTATTCTACATTTTTCTGTGGCATTCTTTCAATAACCATATAAGCAATTCAAAACAATGTTAAAAAAGTACTCTAAAAAAAATTCTACCTGGTATTTTCATCGTAAAACTTGACTTTCTTCATCACGGTTACATTATACCAATCAGCAAAAACAATCAATGAAAGGCCATTGTCAACATCTCTCTTCAATTTGGCTACTTCCTCAGGGAAATATTCTTCTTCTGCATCAACTAGTAAAATAGTCCCATATTGTGATGCATCAAAGCAGGTGAATGGGGAGCCAAGAACTTCCAAATAATATCCACTATTTCTCAAATGTTGGTACATATCCTATAAAAAAATATTTCTGTTACAACATAGATAGGTAAAGGAATTGATTGTAATAAAAAATGCTTTCTTAAGCAGTATTTTCCATATATATATATATATACACACACATACACATATCTCATTCTTAATCCATTCGAGGCCAAAGATGGGCACTGCCTCCTCGTGTCGCTCTGACCAAAGACTGATAGTGCCCATCCTGTACTTTTTTTGTTGTATTTCCACATTTGCCCAATAGATCTATCTTGTCTTCATTACAGAAAGTGACCTAAAGCTTGTACAAGTTCCTTCCTCAATACCGATTGTTCTCATTGAATGTTTTTGTAAACTCGGGGGATCAAGTCAATGACTGCTATCATGGCTGCTAAGCGTTCGGAATTAAATATTTGTGGAATTTGAAGTTTTACTGAGTGAGAGACCAATGTTCGAATGACAGTGATGAGGAATTATATAATGACGAAACAGGTGATATTGGTGGCATAGTGATGTAAATATTGAAAGTAGTCAAACTTTATCACACTGAAAATATTAACATTTCATTTTTTTAAATTTTGCATATAAATTAATTAATTATAAACATATAGAAATCACTACCTTGAAAAATTGAAATAAACAATTTATGTAAGCCAATATCATAATTATTTAGTTTATTTAGTTTTATTTAATATATTATATGATACATCTTTCGATGCAGTGGTGGGTTGCTAAAATTAATTTGGGATAAAGATGAAAAAATTTCAAAAAAATTCGGCCATGAATGAGTTAAGCAGTATTTCCCAACAATCCAGAAAAGTTGATATTTCATAAATACATTCTCAATTCTGCAATATAGGAATATAGTTTTCAGAAAAAAAAGTTGTCAGATTTTGAGCGAGTTTCCCACTGGCTCCATGAAACATTGATGAGCCTGAGGTAGAAATTACTTTAATTTCCCATACATCTGCTTTTGCTTAATTCCATAGGTATTTTTTTGAGAAGGAGAAAGTTTAACAATTTACAGCAAAGGAATCTGGAAGTTATAGTAGCTCTATTTTAATTAACAGAAAGACAATTCTAGAAAAATATTGACAAACTTCAATACGGTGTGTTGTTTTGACATTATATGTCAATAATACATAAATGGATGAAGTTTCACATATAAATAGAGAATTTAATGAATGCAAATTAAACATGGGGAAACTAATCACATTGTGGACAACAAAATGGCCTTACAAATTATTTTTAACAGAACAATTGAATCCAGTACCTTTCTGAATGTACTGAAATGAGAAAAATTATTTCTGTATTCAAAAAGGGCAAGTTAGAGTACACCAAACTTACTGAATTTTTTCAATCCTCTCCAACTTTTCTAAGATCTTGGAGAGTTCAATGTACGTCATCTACTCAGCTCTCTCTTTTCTGGCTGAGTACTGATATACGTAATAATAATAATAATAATAATAATAATAATAATAATAATAATAATAATAATAATAATAATGGATCTCTCCAAGGTCTTTCCTTTTCTAAATCACAATATAAGCACAAGTTAAAGATTTTGGAATTATTTTCAAATTTAACTTGCTATTATTGGGTCTCACTTATATTGATATTATATGACATTAAACAATATATTGTTTATGTTCAAACTAGTGCACAACTTTATAGATTGTTCATTTTTACTCTCTAGTATATGTAATTAATAATGTAATTTTGAGTGATTGCCTGTAAATAAAGCAGTCAAAATAAAAAAAATATTGTAATCTTATTTATGTTGTAAGATATACTGGATTCAGTCTTTTCTTCCCTTCCTCTGGAGTACCATAGGGAACTAATTTGAAACTATTACTCTTTGCTATGAATGAGAATGATGTAGATTTGAGAATGAGCTGCTTCATACTGATTTATACAGATGATATAAACCTTTTTTCCCCCCTGATAATACGTTGATTACTGTAAACTCAATCTGATTTAAACGTGTTTGCAAATTGGTGAAAGCAAAACAACTCTCTACTAAATCCAAATACATGTAAACCACAGGCTATTGAATTGTAATCGCCTTAGAAAGGTGCCAGTTGGTCAGGTATCAGCCAGTCGACTGAAGAGATACCAAGCTTTTGTTAGGCAGAGGAAGGGAGTAAAGGGAAGGGTTTCTAGAATGTTGCTTCAAAATATGCACAATTAGTGGAAGTTTACAAAACAAATGCAAAGAGGGCAAATTGATACAGAGAGAGAGAATTCAAAACTTTTCATTACGTTACATATGTTCATGTGCATCCTTTAGTGTGTTCTAAAAGGAAAAGGTGTTGCACCAATCACCACATCCAAAACCCTTCTTCGATGCCACAAACAAATCACAATTTAACAGGAACCAGGCTCCTGCGTACAGGGAATCAGCAGCAAATGAAGATGAAGGGCAAAATTAAAGGAGGGGATTTTAAGGCACAAAGGAGAGAGGTTCCATTATAGAGGGGCAATGTGTGGCAAGACACGAAAAATTACATTCTTGGGCGAAGAGGAGAAATTACACTGGAGCAAGCAATATCAGATCACTTGGACTGTGGATGTGTATGTTGCTGTTGAACTCATCAATTTTACCATAACTGTTATGGCAAAATTATTGCTTTCGCTTCTACAAATAATATATTTTATTGATTGCTTTGTAAAAAAATAAAACTATGTATTTACTTCGTGCCTGCTTCAGGGTTTTTATTGACACATCGTTGTTGCATCCGTTCTCTTTCTAAGTTGTCTTCAGCATTGATAAGAATATAAAGATAAACTACATGGGTAAATTTACAGGTTCGAGATAGGGTTGAAGGCCAGCTTTCATTGATAATCTTTTAGTTGTTCACTCCCTTGTACTTTGCATATGTCTGTTAACACTGTCATAATTTTGTGTTTACACTGATGAAAGTGAATGGAATTTGTCTCATGTTTTAGACATTCGGAAAAAGCCATTTTTATTCAATGTTTAATTTCATTGTTTTGTCAGCAATATAGCTCAAAGGATGTAGGGTAGCGTAAAAAAATTAGGGTGAGCATGTCCTACCAGAACCAGCTGTGCGTGTTTGTTCATCACTAGAGCCCAGATTTTTCGAGTACTGCAGATTTCTACATTAGCATAATTTTAGGAAAAGTAAGGGGAAAATGGTAATCATTTATGAAAATCGAACTTCTTGAAACTGGTGAATTATGATTTATAAAGAATGTGGTTCACAGAACAGCTTAATAGCCACCATAAAGAAGTGAATCTCCTTTTTTAAGTCTCCAAACCAATGCCAATGAACATAGATATAATGTATTTCACTTGTACCACGTGGATGATCAAACAGAAGACTGAAATTCTGGCAAGGTTGCAAGGAGCTTTATGCTCAGTGTTTCTGACTTGAATGAAATATACACCCGTGATAGAATTGTTATTTCTGTAAGTCAAGAATCATTCACCAGTAAGCAAGAGCTTACATGCAGGCATCACAGCCCCAGATGCTAGGTAGTGGTCATTAGGATTTACCAAAGAAAGATATTAGGTTGCAATACCACATGGTCACGGGCATGACCAATGTATAAAAATATCTGTAGACATAAGAATCAGTTTTTCAGAATCAAACATAAAAATTAATATAGTCATAAACTTCTACAATTCTTTAATTAAATATACTAATGATGTTCTCCATTTTATGTTTATATTACGTTATTTATATAAAAACATCTCAAATGAGTAATTAACCAGTTTTTCAGAAACATATTTAGAAACATAGTGTTTTAGAGAGAAATGTAGAGATTTAGAATTTGGGGATTTTCACCCATGAACATGCTGGACTACTGACAAAAGCACATATGCCACTCTTGGACACGAAGAACATGGCTCTTGCATTTGCCAAAGGTACAATGATTGGAGTAGAATGTGAAAGGCTCACTTAAGTGATATTGCATTATCCCTGATAAATAGAATTACTTACACATTCACAAAGGTTTTCCAAATTTAAATGAATTTGAAACTTTGAAAATTTCAGAATAGATTGATTATTTTGTGTTTCTGAGCACGTCAACTACTCTGATCATTAGATCTGTAAGTGTAGTGTATGATTGTTGTCATGAGTGGTTGTAGTTATCTTTTTCCAACAAGATGGCTATATCCTGCACCAACCTCCATGTCAAGTTTTTCCACCAAGTTAGCTCCCACGAGCAGGGCATCGTCCCAGCTGGGGCAAGCTCAAAGTTCCAACTGGTCTCTCAACATGTTTGGTAGTGCAGTGCATGTAAGTGTCATGTGTGTAAGTATGAAGTGACGATAGGACAAGAAAAAGGAAGAAAAAGATCGCATGTGGTCTAGGGAATGTTTGGTACTGCTGCAGCATTTGCCTGGTGTTGATCAAAGGAACCATGGAAAATTACCAATCAGAGCAGCTGGTCGCTAGAATTCTCCTCCAGGAGGTGGTTTGACCTAGCTATTCAACTAGTGTCGAAAAACCTGCCTCTGCTGGTACTCAAACCCTAGGATCTCCCATTCAGAAGCACTGAGTGACATCAGCTAATATCCTGAGCCATCTAAGCCAGTACAAATGTTTGGAACTTAGTTTAATTTCTTTACATTACTCATTTTTTATTTACTTACTTTGAAATTTGTGTGAATATGATCTCCATTCCAATCTAAAGGATCATTTTTCATTCGAAGATTATCTCTTGGAAAATATCCTGGAGGGTATCGCAGATTGTGATATTGATCCCAGAGGATTCGTTTACTGAAAACAAAAGATTCTAAAAACAGATTTTAAAAAAACAGGCATGTCCTCTCTTGACTTTAGAACGTTCTCTTAATTTGATACACATGTTAATGCACTATTATGGGGACAACTTCACAAAGCTTATCATATAAATATCAACAAAACAAAGCAAACCACAAAAATAATCAACATGTTAACAGCCCAAGGAATCATGTTTAATGCACATGAATTATTTTTAATACTTATAGTACACAGTTGACTCTTTGCTAGTTGGTGAGAACTCTGCCAACACAATTAACATAAAACCAGAGTCTGCCCTATGCATTTTATATTAGAATGCATTAGTGCCAAATAGTTTATTATGAAAACCAAAAAACTTTTCCAGGTCATATTTAAACAAAAAAACGTCTGATTATATTTATATTTAGGCAACACACCCAAAGTTTTTTAACTGTTACTTAGTTAAAAAATACTTTGCTAACAATCTGAGAAGGCGAAAATAAAAAGAGTAAGAAACAAATTTAGAGAACTCAAATCAGTAAAAGAGTTAATTATTCCCAGAATAATTAGTGGTGCTACAACAGCCACTTGTATTGTTATCAGTACCAGTCATGAAATATTATAATATTGCAACTTCCATCCTCATAACACTGCACCATGAAAACCTCTATATCTAATGAATTATCAAGAGATCAAAAATAAAATCTTTAATTACTATTTTATGTAAATACATACAGGAACAAGATAAATCTATTTTTTAAGAATCAAGGACCTACAAAATGAGTTTCTATTGAAAAATAGCACTTTTCCTGCAGAATTAATTTCCAACAACATTCTCTTTCAACATAGTAGATATGAAAAAGTAAACTAGTAGTGTTACACAATCCCAGAGGCTTTCTTGCACTAGTTAGTTTTTTTTATCTTTTTAGACTAGGCTAGCTTTCTGTCTTTCTGGCACACTCTTCCCTACCTATTGGCATCAAAACAAAATGTTGTCATACATTCTCAATTTGTGTCCCTTAATAGTGAAATTAAAATAAGTTTTAAAAGAATATTACAGACAAGTAAACCAATCCTATAATTATTTATTTATTGACTATTGTCCAAATACAAAATAATTAAAAGTAACATGATATAAACTTTGTGAGATTTTAAGGACTGGCAACTCTAATCTCTCTAACAAGTAAATAATCAATAAACCGAATATCAATC